GATGTAAAAGTAAGGTGGGGGTGGTCATTCATACATAATTTTAAGTAAGTATTGCACTCATACATATGTAGTTCAATTTCAGAAATAGTGGGTGGAACTAGTAGAGCCATTTAGAACGCTTCTATTTGTTAGTTTTTGACCGATTAGCTTTCACAGCCAACTCGGGCCATACTTTATTACGCGAAAGTGAATCTTAAATCTTCCTCTACAAGATTACATACGATCACGTATACATGCATATGAAAGGCAAGTAGTCGTGTCGTATGTACGGTTAGGAAGATACAGGGGCTCGGGGGAAAGCGTTGCATAGTAAACCGGCGAGCTATGCAGCCATTCGCCAAGTCCAACTCTCATGTCACATGAAAGAAAATTAATCACAAAACAGTCGTTGACCCAAGGTAGAACACGCACATAAAAAACTAAGTATTAAAGATGTAGCTTTGCCCCATTTTCATGAAATTCGAAGTTTACAAAGAAACCGCTGTAACAATTGAGGATTATCGTTGTTCTTGGATTATCTTCAACTTTCAGAAGAGCTCTTCAGCTTCCACCACTCAAACCCTGCGAAATTGGGAGTGTTCAGGACATACCCACTCTCCCTGGCGTGACGTTTGTATGTCCGAAATTACCCCGTAAAGTAGCATTTTTTCAGTTTTAAGCCCATATAAACCATACTATTTGACCCAGGTGATTAAAAATTTTGACACAGTGTGCTCTTAACATGATTGAATCGACAAACAATCCCCTCATGAACCGGCCATGAACAGTTTCGGCTTGCCAGTCAAAGTTTTTACGCATAAAGCGAATTTAGGTAAAAATGGTTAAATACAAAAACCACTATTTCTCCTGGAGTTTGCGCCTGATTTGGCCTCCCGGGGGATTGATCAGATGGTTTTAAGTGTGGCCGATGCGATGCGCGCAACGGGACAAGCCTCCAAGTTGGCCATTAGATGGGAGCATCATCGCAATGCTTCCGGGGAGAGTTGTCCGAAATTACACCGAGTGTCCGAAATTACCCCGTTTCACGGTAGGTTTTCTCGGAAACGGTGAGGAATTTGGTCCCCTTTTTTTAAGATAAAGTGGGTTTGCTCGGAAACGGTGAGGAATTTTCATCTTTTTGGGGTTTTTCCCCAAATTTTTCCCCTAAAAATTTTGGGAAACGAATGGAAAAAACCGCAAGTCTCTACGACCACTCCTTGACCCCAAGCATTTCTATGAGTGAGTGAGTGAGTGAGTGAGTCAGTCGGATTGGGGCTTTATAGGTTCTTGATTTGTGTTGAAGGTATACCTTAAGGGGCATTGTTGCCTGCTACCAGGCGTTTACAGAAACTAATCTTGACGGGGGGAATGGGGGGGGGGAGTCGCACCCCGACGCCTCTATCAACCACGCCTGGGTACGAACTGCTAGTCCCAGTTCTTCGGGTGAAAAAAACGCTAATTTCGAACGTTTCTTTAAATTGTTCCCCCCTGAAACATAGGAACTCGTTTACTCGCATCGTCCAAGTTGTTTCTAGGGTTATCGCATCATGGGGGTCGATTGGCGCACAGAGCAAGACGATAGGACGCCCAGAAAAATGTCAAACTGGCCCTTTAAGGTGAAAAAAGGCACAAAGTTCGAACGTTTCTTTAAATTGATCGCCCCTAGAAAATAGGCAGTCGTTTACTTGCGTAGTCCAAGGTGTTTCTAGGGGTCCTCTCAGTGTGAGGAATCGATTGGCGCATAGGAGAAGACGATCCGACGGCGGGAAAGTTGTCAAATCTGCCTACAAAGATGAAAATACGGCATTTTCACTGTTTAAAAAAATCTGAAAATTCAGACCACTTTTGTCAGACTTGGTGGTCTGAATCTATTTTTCAGACTTGTTTCAGACTGCTTGTCTGAAAATTTTGCCTTCTGGTATGAAAATTGCGACCTGATCGTCTCAGAACCTGAATTCAGACCAGCGCAGTCTGAAAATTTAGATGGTTAAGTCTGAAAATTCAGACCTACCCAAGATTTCGTTTGTCCGCTAGATGGCGCGCATGTTGTGGAACATACCTTCTTCTGTTTAAAAGGCTTCTAATGTGAAAATATATTGGTTCAAAAGTTCCAAATTGATAGGACTTAATCGGCCATATGAGAACCATTCTCTGCCGCAAGATTTATCTCCCTAATATGGGTGGATGTTGAACAATCCACATTCTAATTTACCTCTCGCGGGTGGCTCCGTGTCGCCATTTCCTTGGGTGCCACAGGCGGGCCTCTCGAGAGTCAGCGAAAAGGACAGAGGACCTTCTCCCTCATCACTATTTTTACTCAATGTTGTCCTCTCTGGAGGTTCACACACACCTGAGATTCTTTCTGTCATATTGAATATGTCGCGAACCTTAAAGTTCACAATCTTCGTACAGGACTGAATTTTCAGACCACCAAACTCTTAAATGTAAGACTCGAGTTCTGAATTTTCAGACCATCTAAATGATCTGAATTTTCAGACCTCAAGTCTGTTAAGGTAGTTGGAACGACCACGCTAAAGTTAAGAAAAATCTGTGAAATTCATGGAGCCTACTCATTTAACCTCGGTTAAAACACTGGCAAAGCCCTGACCCGCCTTACCGCCCAAAAATTTTTTTGAAATCGACATCAAAATTAACATAGTTTCTTATGGGATGTTGGCCGAATCGGCCGACATGAGATATTTGCTTGCTTTTTGACACTGTTTGAATTAAGTTTACTCAAAGCGCCAGGTGGGAAATTGCAGAAAAATGTCCAAAGAAACGTTTGACGTTAAGAAAATGTGCCGTTACCGGCCATATAAACATTTAACACTAGAAGCGCCGGGTTTTCGGATTACCGTAAAGCGCCGAGCGGGCCAATTTGACCCAAGGGCATTTTCGTCGTACATGTCATTTCTTGAACCGTCATTTCGACTCAAAGGGAACCTAAAACGGATTTGTAGACCCCTTTGCAAGTCAAAGGATAAAATTTGGTGCACAGGGGTCACAGGGGGCGAGGTAGGCAACCCGCAAACCATGATTTGCTGTTCTTAGTGTTTTCTACTGTGCCTCGTTGCCGAAACGTTTTTTAAGATAATAGAGGCATAATTGTAATCGCCTTTTGATCGAGATAGTGACCTTTAATCAAATTACTGAACCGTAGACTATTAGGACCTGGCCAAACCTTCAAAGCATAGCTGCAAGGCATGCCCGGAAACCAGGATTCATAGCAACGGGAGCTCATAGTAAGGAGGATTGAGTGCTCGATTGAGTATGTGCTAAAAGGGCTGGAATGTAAGAGACGTGCAAACACCCTCGGGTACTCAATTAACTCGCCACAACCAGCAAGGCGCGTAGTAGGTTCTAATTTGCGTCCTTTCGTCAACTAGCATTCCGTGATCTGTCCCAACCAGCTTTACTCCTGCTGTATCTCTGAGATGGGTTTCCGTGTCGTCCATCGTCCTGACCGGCTTTTACAGACATCTAGGGAATGAATTGTTGTCGAACTAGTTAAAATGTACGGAGGCAAGTGAATTACTCTGAAATACTAGACACGAGAGCAACAAAGTGGACCTCGGCATTTTATTTATCTCTTTACGCATGAGTAAGTGATGGAGTCCTTTGTCCCAAGGATTCGGGCTGAGCGTGCTATGAGTGCCACTGAAGGTAGACTAGCGCCTGAGTGTTCGAGAGACACCCTTGGGCGTTTAGAAGTCAATCGGGTTACCCAAAACGCCTAAGACATTGTCAGTTTACGTCAAAGGAAGCTGCACGATGTCTCCAGCCAGAAAATGTATTGCGGGTTGCCTACCTCTTTATAAACGCGGACCTAACGCATTCCTAATATGACGTAAGTTATTTATAGTGGTGAGGAGTCAGTTCATAGCTCGTTACGTTGTGTAGAAAGGCGAAAATGTGGTCAAAGTGCCGTGTGGGTCAATCTGGCCCGCTTGGCGCTTTACGGTAAAAGTAAATTTTATCTCGGTCAAATATGGTCCGAGAACGTCCGATTTCGAATTTAGACGCATTTCATCATTCTAGGAAAAGTCAGAAATTGGGGGGCTGCCACTTTCTTTTTGAAAAGTCGAAATTACAGTTCAAAACTCAAAATGGGTCAAATTGGCCCGTTCGGCGCTTCTAGTGTTAAAATGGATTTATCGAAGTCAATGCCAATGATCGGATCGCGTCATTGCAGACGCACTAGACAGGGGGCCGTAGGGGGGAACGAAATCTGGCAACGCCGCGCTGCGTCGTCTGCCGGCAGCCGCTCGCTTCTGCTGTGGATGCAAGACGCAAGTTTCCACGACGTCTCATTAAAAACCAAAAATTTATGAAATAATATTGAGTGTCACACACTTGACTTCGTTCTACAGCTATTCTTTTATTATTTTATACGAAAAAGTAACTTCTTTTCATCAACGAAAGTGTCGAGCATGAAAAAAAGCCAAGACGCGAACGAGAAGAGCCACCCTTCAGATCGTCTAAACTTCATTCATTCGAAATGAACGAAGGTGCGTTTATTATGATCTAAAAAGCATTCTTTCTTTTTAACCTAATCAAAAATTTTATCACAAGAATATGCAGTGATATTTTTTGAAAGTGTACTTGTATGTGTTGCTTGCACTCCAATTGATTGATGACAGGTTGAGGTTAGATCTTTTTAAACCAATACCCTTCTTTGTGTGAAATCTAACTGTAGTTTTCTTTTTGCAGATCAAATCAAAGTAAAGACAAGCCTAATGGAAAAAAACGAGGTGAAGAAATCATCAATTCAACAAAAACGATGATCAACGCAAAGCCATCACTGTAAATTTACAAAAATTGTTCTGCATCTGTGTGTCATGAGAGGGATAGGGTGCTGTCTTTAAATACAAACACAAACTTATGGAGACAAGAATAGGTTTCTTTATTCATCACATGCATATCACTAAAGAAAAATGACTAGAAAACAAAACATAGACTTCATGATAGATATAAACCTAACAAACAAAATTGAGTTCATACTTGATAAGATTGTTGTTTAGAAAAGAGACAAGAGAATGCAAGATTACAATCTTTGGTGTGATGCATCATTCATAATAGCCGCTTGAACAGCTCCAGCAATTTCTTCTAACTTTTTCTTCTGTTTTGTAACTGCAGGCTTCCCATTAACATCTTGACTTAAAAGAAATGCCAAAGCAGCTTCACCACCAATCTCAAAAGTGCTTTTTAACTTTTCTAAAGTAATTCTAGCTTTGGCTATTTTAGTGATCATTCCATCTTTAACAGTGGGTTTCAAAACAGACAAAGATTGCTCAATCATTTTTTTGTTGGCGATTTGTTCAACACCACTAACAATACCTGCAGCTGACGTAATATGTCTCATGAGATCAAATTGAGACACACCAACAACACGGACAAGTTCTTTTAAAACTTTCACATCAGCTAGTGCATTGTGGGCACCATCAATAGGTATTTTGTACTTTGCAGCTAAAGTAGTTTGCTTGTAGCTCTTAAGCCTGGGCAACTTCTCCTCAAATACATGAAGGGTGTCGATAAAACCCCCACATACACTGAGAAAATCATCGAGTAAATCATACTGTCTCATGACCCTCAGAATTATGGTAAAATCAAACCTGAAAATAAAATAAATAGGAAACCAGAATTAGAATAGAAAAACCAAATAATAGTGTTAAAGTAATGGAAACCATGTACAAAAATATGGACATTAGTGCATACTTTAGTTAAAATTTGATTAACTTACTTGAAGCCATTGTGAGCAACGAGGACACAAGTTGTGCCCAGTTCCTTCAGGAAGGCAATGAAACTACTCAAGGCCAGTCTTACTGGTACTGTTGGAACCACTTCTCCATGTGAGAACATTTGCCCACCTTGACTCTTAAGCCCAGTCAATGACACTACAGATGGTGGAATTCTTTTTTGAGGCACTATATATGCTGAAAATTCTTTGTCAGCAGCACTTGCAGCAATCTGAAATAAAAAAAAATTGAAAGAAAAGAGGAAAAAAAATTATACTCATCAACAACATGTTATCTTGTTACCTGAATTATTTCACATGTGAGAGTATTTAGCCCAGTTGTTTCTAAATCAAAGAATAATATCTGTGCATCTTTAGGTGCCTCTGGCCTGTTCATAACTGCGACAATATAAACAACAGGATTTACATTTTTACAAGTCATATGATAAAAAGAAAATTCTATTTAATTGTACTTACCAATAGGATCATCAACTAAATCTGCAATGCCATTCATTTCACATCCAGTGGAGTAGGAAATGCCTTCCCTACTTTCTTCTGCTGCAGCCTTGGAATTTCTATTTTTTTTCCAGAGCATCCTCTTTGACTTAAATTCTTTACTAAGCTGTTCCACTGAGCGTCTCTTCCTTATCATGTCACTTCTGGTCCGAATTTTTCTGGTGATTTCACCTGGTGATAAGCCAAGCTTCTTGTTTACTTTCATTATATATGTTTTCCCTATGTTTTTCTGGCCAACAGTTGCTGCTACTCTAAATGGCAGGGCTTCAGAACTAGCATTAAATTTATACTTTGGATTTTTTGTTGCAACCATATTATTGAAATTTTCATTTCCTTGGGATGATGCACATGGAGCAATTTTTGCAGCATTGTCTGCAAACCTCTTCAACAAGGCTGCTAGTTGTGGCCTAAATTCGAGACTGCTGAGAGGCTTTCCATATGGTAGTCCCCTGTGAGTATAAGTGCCTGGACTCTCGTTAAATTTGCACCATTCTGCACAGCCTCCATGCTCACCATAGGAGTGATTTTCTATGTTCAAGATTGCTGCTCTGACACCTTCTTCATTACCTTTATTTTGCATAATAGCAAATGAAAAGGAACGTGTCAGGTACACCCTCACTTTCTCTGACACTTTCATGTTGAACAATGCAGTAGAAAATCCTTTGCGAGTGTGATTTAAATCAGACCATTTCTCTACATGCACTTCACTTTCTCTCCTCACTGACTGGATTGAGCAGGAATCATCATCACCAATTAGAGTTCCAAGGCTGACATTAGCTTCAGACAGCTGAGGGTTGCGAGTGATAAGGTCCACTGCTAATTGTGGTTCCATAGACTTTGCGCTGCCAACATGATTTTTTCTGCAGTCATGGTCAGATGGAGGATGACCTTTCAAGCACAGACGACACGATTTACTTTTAGAACCAAACGCCAAAATTTTCTTGCTGTGATAGCCAATGAGAGAACCATGTCCTGTAGCAAACAATCAACATCAATAAATTTTTGAAAGATATATAAATATGTATACATTTTCTTTCCTCAGTTTTACCTGAAAGACTATTGTAAGATTTCCCTGTTCCTCGCTTTTGCCAGCCCATGTCAAAGGACCCTTTCAGAAGCACTTTATTCGATGTAGTTTTTTGGAGAGGAACAATACCATCAACTCTGAAAACATAAACAGAGATTAGCACATTCCAGAAAAAGGCAGCAATGACAAGCTCATGCAGCATGCAGCTTTACAATTATGTTTGATATATGTGAGATAAGTTTTGTTTCATTTAAAGAGGACAAAACAAATCACAATAGCCAAACACAAAAGTTTGCACATAATTTAAAAAAGGAAAAGAAACAACATGCTGAAACAGATCATGTCATGCATAATTAAGGCAAGCAGCTACACAAGTAATAATTTTTCTTTGAATGACAATTTAAACAGTTTTGTGTACAACACTACACAAAACATACAAATTTAGTCATACACAATGAAAAATTAACACTCATTTGAATGATTTGCAAAGACAGGCTCATGCTCAAGAGTAACTAACATAAAAAGTGAAAGCAAATAGTTAATTTGGAAGTTTCTTTCACTTATTAGATTACAGTGGGTTAACATTAGAATCATGTTAACTGTTCACAAAATAAACACTATACAAAAGCAAGCAAGCTGTCACAAAAAATACTTATATATCATTGCAGATCATATAAAGAGAGACACTAGTGATGGCTGTCCCAAAACTTGGTAAAAAGAATGCAATGCGCAAAATATTAGGACAGTGAGTTGGAAAAGCCATCACTCGTGTAATACATTCATTTGAATCAACTTCCATAGCACGGGCGCCTGAAAAGAAATTTTAAAGTAACAGGATTAATAAAAATTTTTAATAAGGAAACAGTTGACTAAAATATCCCGTAAAAGTTCAGGTAATAAAAACAAAATAGTTGTTGACTAACCCAGATGGAAGTACACTTTCTTGTTCAGCGAGAGTCAACTGCTTCTCAAGTTGAATACTTTCAGCACAAGACTCTTTAGCTACATCTTCAACTTTCTTGCCAACTCGTCTTTCATGGCGCTTCATCAACGGCCAAGACACTGGTGGCATGTTCATCGCAGTTAACCAGGTGTTCATTTGCTCTGTTCCATTGGCATTGTCAATGCAACCTGTGAAAAATATAATTGTCAATGTTAGGGAAATACAGAGATGCACATGCAATGCGGAAATAATGGTAAACATACCAAGAGCATTCTTGCAATTCATATCGTACACTGAGCACTTCTTCACATCATCATAGTGGTGCTTTCCAGAGTGCACTCTGTGAAATGCACCACAACCTTGGCAAGAGACCAAAACGTCGCAGCCAGTCCAGACTGTCTCTCAGAGCCTTGCACATGTTTCTGAGGGATAAGGGCATCTTGCAATGACTACACCACAATCCCTAGCCAGCTGTTGGAGTTCAACTACGCGCCTCATTGTACAGGTTATACTGCCACAGTCTTGACTTTCAGAGGTACGCATCACTTTCGCGGCGCGAGCCTCGACCAACCAAGCTTTTCTCTTCGCGGAACATTTTCCTTCCACTTGACACATTAATTTTAGCAAAGCGACCGCTCTTTCGGTCTCTAGCTACTACCGACATTGCAACTTGTTTAGCGCGGCGACAACGTAAACAAACAGCTGGAGACGGCGGACGGAGTGCGGCGTTGCCAGATCGTTTTAGCCAACCTTGCGGCATGATTTATCGGCATATAATCAAATTTAAACGCGTAAAAAATAGTTGTTAGGTCTTTTTTTCCACGTCTGCATAGATGAATACACTAATGATCGATACATATGCCCATAACCGTTATAATATAGGAAATGTACCCCCCTGTAGTGTTCTGCTTTTCGTGTTGGAATGTTGCCTTTGTCATCTTAACTAGTCAAATCTCTCATTTTTAACGTATAATTCAATTTAATGGTTTAAGATGGTTGAAAGAGCACTACTGAAGGTTAAAAAATTAAATTGGAGTTCTAGGGTGCTCGGAGGCTTTGCCAATGTCTGTTTTGTTTTAGTCACTGCATTGACTAGCGGGGCTCGTTCCAACTACCTTAATACTTCTTACCAATTTGGTCTGAATTTCCAGACTTTTTTTTTAACAGTGTCCCTATTTTTTTTTTGCAGTTTTTGGCCCTGGAAAGTAAGGCCATGTGCATATTCGGTATGCAGTATTTTTTAACTTATTCTAGGCATCAATACGAAACATTCGGCGTTTCGCTTCTCTTTACGACCAAAAACTCTAATTACAGCACCAAAAAATATTATCACTAAAATTCAGTATTTTTTTAAAAAACTTTGAGCGCGTTGCGCGACCCCTAAAAATGCTCCAAAAAAATCGAAAAAATGCGGAAAAATTTTATTTTGGGCCGAACTTTAAGATTCCGTGCGGCGCTTCTCGATTTTGAAACTTTTTTTTTTCGCGTGGGCCACACTAGGCTCAGGGGACTACCAATGGCAAGGTACCAATGGGTCGATGTGCCACCCGTCGAAATTTACACTTGACAAAATAGAAATCAAAATGCTGGTAAATTCAAAAAATTCCAAGCTAAGGTATTCCGCAGTGTTCTGACAATGGAACATATTTAAAGTCTATCTTATTAAAATTTCTTGGCAGAAAGAAGGCAGTAAATTAATTTTCACGGGTTGGCAACTAGTTTCTCGGCGTCTGCGCCCTTGCGAAAATCGCGAAGCTGAAAGCACCAGCAGTCGCGCATTAAAACTGCCCATCCATTGTTGCTGACGTTGAATTGTTTGGCTTGTTTCAAAAGGCTAGGGTTTCTCTAGTCATGTTTTCTTCAATTCTGTGTAATAGTTCTCCCTTACAACGTACAACACCACGACGGTTGGTTTGACAAACTTCAAAAACTGGGGAGGGAGGGTTTTCGAAACGCGGGTGAGTCTTGTTCGAGGAACATGAGCACTGCAAGTCGCGAGGTGGAGCGAAGTGGTCCTAGTGCTAACTGAATCACAACAACAACAAAATTGTTTTATTGACAGAAAAAAAAGGAATTTTTTGAGAAACTGTATGTCAGAAAAAAAGAACTTTTGGTTTGCAAATTTTCTGTGAATATTTTTTAAGAAAGTCATCACACAAAATTAAAAATTTGTTTTATATGAATTTTCATAAGCAGGAAACAAAGAAAAAAAAAAGAAAGAGAGAAAAATTAATACAGATTTCAAATGCTACAGTTGGTTAACTGTTAACAGGTTGAAAACCTACTGCGCATGCCCAAAAAACACTCCAATCAAGAAGTATTATTGGATAGTTCTACCCGAAAAACTGCGTTCGAACCGACACCAATTCTATTTTTTGCATCTTGTCTACCTGCAGTCAAAGAAATTTTTCTTTTCGAACGTGCTGATTTCAGCTTTTGGAGAAAGGGGAGTAGGGGGGCGATTTGTAACAGGGGCGATTCGTAACAAATGCTTTTTATTAATTTAAGTGGGGGGAGCAGAGGAAACTCTGAGTATGGCCCCTCTTTCACTTCAAGTACAGGGTCCTTGAACAATCGAAGCGGATGTGATCGGTGCTCAGGTATAGTTTTGGAGGGCGTCTGAAATATAGGGTACACCGAAATTTCGGCAAACAGGAAAAATCTTTTATTTTGAGTTCTAGGAAGTTTCTGTCTGGGGCCCCCCAAAGGGGTGTGAATAAACCATCGAAGTACCTTTGGGGGCCTTGAAGCGTGACCCCTTTAAAATGTAACCACGTGGCATAAGTTGCTTTTAATTTGTCCAGTGATAGTTGGTCGTAATTCTTGCGTAACAGGCATTGGGGTGATTCGTAACAGACCCGTATAAAAACAAGATTTTAAGTGTTTTTGCAATTAAATGCTTGAATTATTTCTCGAATCATCTGCTCCCTTATTCCAATTCATTTACACAGCTCGAAATGCTTTTTTCTATTCTATTTTTCATCAAAAAAATAAAAAAAGTGAGGTTAGGATTGACATAGCCGATCAGTTAATGCTGAGGCGGTCAACGGCAGCTTGTAATGTAGTTTTTTAGACGTCTGCGGGACACCCGAAGAAGAACTGGTGGAGGAGATATCATTCCCGACGATGTTTCTTTTAATGTGTAGGATGTTATGAAAAGCTCCATGGCTTTTACAAATCACCCCATGCTGGGGCGATTCGTAACAGCATGCAAGGGTTTGGAAAACGTCTTAGATTTCAAAGATTACGGACTCCAGATTGATCCAATGGAGCTGCACAGTCTAGATGAAGAGCCAGACTGCTCAACTGGCACAAGTTTGACACCGATATGCAGAATGTTCTTAATTTTGTATAGAGAATTCCAAAATCTGTTACAAATCGCCCCATACTCCCTTAAGCTGTACAGACCCAAAAAGAAGCTCGGCTATTGGTCCGCCCCGGCTCGGCTCCCCCCACTCCCTTTTTTTTCCTTTGACGAGTCGAGTTTTGGGCCCTGGAAAAAGGCGATTTTGACAGCAAATTTCTCCCAAAATTTGGGCCCCAACTTTTTAACCAGATTTCAGCATGAGAATCAGCATTCAAAGTTCTGCAAGTCTGCAAAGTCTCATTAAAATCGTATAGAAAATTTCCGAAATGCCTAAAGGGCCACACAAATTGAATCTCAGGCCGGCTGAATCCTGGGTATACTATAAGGCTACTTCGTGCCTAAAAAGATTTTCATATTTATTTTTAATGTGTTTTTCAAACGTGCAGTTTGATTCTAAATGTTATAACATTGTAAAACGGGGGTAAATTCATTTTTTGTCAGCGGGATGACCAATCTTTCTGAAACCACTAACGTGATGGTTCAGTGTAGTTTCAGTTCGGAGATATAACGGGTGTACTTTTCTTGCCCGAGCTTCGAGTGTACTTTTCTTACCCAACCTACCCCTACAGCGCTAATACGGCGCAAATACCACTATTACCAGTAATTACACATAAATTACGGCCATTACGCAACTATTACCTAATACAGGCAGTAGTACAGACCAATTACACACCCGACAACCGACTGATACCAGAGTGAATTCCCCCTCGCACAATTTCACGTTCCTTGCAAGGTAAGCAGTACGTTTTTGTCGCTTGACGGTTTATGAACATGTTAAAAAACATGCATGTTTTGACCTGAAAACTAACGTTGCAATCGAATTTTCTCAAAGTCACCCAATAAAGAATCACTCTGGAAATCAATTGAACTTTTACTGCCGGTTGAATTACTTCGTACACATCCTAACTCCACTTCGAGCAATTGGATCAACAGATGTCACGCCTCACGCACGGTAGCAGGTCGGCGCTTAAGTTTATTGATGCGATCGATCGAGTTCGCGACAACCCAAATTTCCAGCATGTCGACGGCGCACGGTGGGCCAGGAGGGCCCCTTTTGGCGGACACTCTCCCTTCACTGTGGCAAAAAAAGTACGGAAAATTCTGTTTATTTTTTTTGCGAAGATTTTCCGTAGCCCATGTAGGCTCTTAGTCCTACAGAGAATAGTGGAAGGTCCTACGGAGAATATTGACAAGAGGGCTACGGAGAATAGCTTTGCGACAAGGGCTACGGACAAGCTGTTTACAGTATTTTTTCCCTAGCTTTTTGCCACAGCGAATTGTTTCTCAAAAATCTTAGTTTTCAGAGCATTTTTTAGGGGTTCCCAAGAACCCCTATTGTCCGAGGTCCGTGGATTCTTCCCCCCCCCCCTCTCCGATTTTC